CCAACCTGCTCTGCCCTGATGTGCAAAGGCAGTCCATCAGTGCCAATATGGTTTGTCGCAAAGGATGGGGAGGTCCAGAATTGCGCAAATGTTGCTTTGTGTGCACTTTTGCAAATGGGCCATTCGTGCTGTAAAAGGATACTACTAGACTGCGCATATTTGTCAGCCAACTTCCACATTGAAAGCCTCTAAAAAGGGTGCGAACCTGGTTACCTGAACGTGCTCTGCATCCGTAATTATTATTCCACTAAACATAAGCGAGGAGAGGAGGGCAGGGAAAGAGGGTGGGGGTAAAGGGGAAAATAAGAATATAAAAGCCCCTTAAACCAAAAGAAACAGCCTCTAGTTGCACATTTTAAAGAAAGAAAAAGAACTGCAACCAGTGATTTTAAAACCAGTGCTCCTCTGTCTATATATCTCTGAATCAAAGAGGTGGAGAGGCGCAGTGTGGACAGCGTGTTGCAGGAGGATGGGGTGAGGAAACATCGTTTCCACATCGCATCCAAACCCTTCCGACGCATGGTGCTTTCAAGTTTTCCATCTGTGCTCCATGAGGCAACACCGTCCACTCCACATCCCTCCCTCCATAAATTAACTTGCTTCCACCAGACAATGCGGCGTGAGCCAAAGCCCACCGGCGTTCAGTATCACTACCATGATTGTCCCTTGTTCTGAAACGGTACCCCAAAAAACTGCAGAATATCCTACCTGTTTATCCAGAGAGTGTCCACAATCCGGAGAAGGCAGTCAGTAGTAAAAGCAGGACTAAAGCTCTACTAGCAGCAGAACCAGGAGGAGGAGGAGAAGAAGAGGTAAGCCAGTAGTGGAGAATGGTAATGGAGACGCAGGGAGCTCTTATACGCCAGCCAAGGCAGCGTATCCACACAGCGAGACGCACAAAAGAGAGGGAGAGGTGTCCGGATTCCCATGCACTGACAGCTTTTTGTTTGTTGCTGTTGTTTTCGGTTGTTGCCTACTCTTCGTTTCCATGCAGCGGGACGTGTAAGACCTGTATGATCGGATAACCGGAGCGGAGCTTCATCAGCAAACCCGCATTTGTTGGGACGAGGCGCGCAGCACAGCCGACTTCTTCCTCATTCTTCCCTTCCCGATGCCCCTCTCACTCCGTGCAAGCGCAAGAGAAAAGGAGAGAGAGAGAGAGAAAGAAAGAGAGAGAGAAAGAGAGAGAGGAGGAGGAGAGCGAGAGTATACTAGAGCGAAAGAGCGAGAAAGTGTGTGTACTGTTCCCTCAAACACCGACTGAGGATCAGCGCGCCTCCTTCTCTCAGTGCGGTGTGTGTCTATATGCACATATATCTTTCTAGTCACACACACACCAGCAGTGCACACACACACACACACACACACACACACACACACACACACACACACACACACACACACACACACACACACACACACACACACGAATATCAATGATAGTTATTCCAGAAATGTGTCATAGCCCGCCCACTCTGCATGTCTATGTCTCTCAAGTTGAATGATTTTATAGAGAAAAGTTGGTATTTAGTGCAATATTTTATCTTGCATTATCAATGGCTGCCTTGTGTACATTAATATCTGAAATAAAGATTCTCAAAGACAAAAAGAATTCTGATTTACAGTGTTAGAACTCTTGTGGTTTGATGACCCGAACCTGACAATGCTGATATCAACTTCCTTTTTTGTTGATACTACAAACATATTTTTAAAAACCTTTTATACGAAGAGAGAGCAGCATGTATAAAATAAACTAATAACTGAAGAGCCATTGACTTATTGACCTTTTGGAAAAACTGGAACTCCTAAAATAAACCTCAATAAGAGGAACCAGTTTTTCAACACTGTAAAATGCGGAACAATCAGTGTGACGATCTGAATGAAACTTAAAACCGAAGTCACTACACCAAAATACTTCTACTACTACACAGCATATCCTTTTCCTGTTGGTAAGCAGCCATGGTATAAGTGCTATAAAACACACAAGGCTGAACCAATATAAACAAATAATTGACTTGATAGCGCAGCAGTTTTTGCCTTCACCTCATCCATTACTTTATATAGCAGCATCTACATAAGCATTACCTCTAATTTCAAATGATTGTATAAAGACTTTCTGAAGTGATGCATGGGGAGAGACCTACACATTAAGGGGAAGAGAGATCGAGAGAAAGAGACAAGAAAACAGATTAAAGGAGACACATTAAGAGTCCTTATAAAACTCAGCATAGATTGATTGTTTTGCTCATCTGATAACTCAATCGTTAAAAATATTAGGCTGTGGATCCAATAACAAATGCAAACACTAAAAAATACCTAGTAAAGAATATGTTGCTTGATGGTTGAATAGTTAGAAACAGGAAGGCTTGAGACCAGTAATAAGTCAGAAGAAGTAGTTAACTAGGCAACAAAGGGAAATACAACCGGAGATCTAGATGGTTGACATTATACGCCACAAACAGGCCGGAATGCCTCAACTACAATAAATAAATGAATGAACAATAGGCAAAACATAACCTCTGTGTATTCACTGGGGTTAATTGTACATGAGGAGCAGCTGGGATTGCAACCAACAGGGTCAGGTGACCTATAAAGGAGGGAAACTCAGTGAGGGCAACTGGAGGGCAGGCGAGGCAGAACATGACCCTGGAAAATCCTACACACTGGGAATAACGCGAGAAATAGTCTGAGGCTAGGTGTGAAATAATTCACTCATTCACTATCTAGGGAGCTCTAAAGGACTTTAAAGTGAGCTCATCGGAAAAATGAAAAAAACACTTCAAACTTCTCGAGTCCTTTTCTCTGCACCGTTGGTTACATCAGTGCTGTTTTACAATTAAAAAGCCAGATTAACTTCGGCTTGTGGAACACCCATTATACATACAGACATGCAGTTTTGTGATAAATAATACAGAAGTTTGTTCGGTTGCTTCTTGAGTGAATTAAATTTATCCTTGGTAAGCAGTGATGCAGTGAATATGTGTAGTGTTTTTATTGTGAAAGGAAAGAACTAGCAAAGTTTGGCTGCATTGTCAATGTGTCGGCAAAAAGAAATTTGTGTCAAATTGAATACTTGCAATGTCCCCCACAAGTTGATCAAGATGCCGGACACAGCCAAGCCATCACTCAGCAGAAAAATAGAACATTTCAGGGAACAGATTGACCCGAGAGAGAGGATTGTGCAAGGTTGACCGCGCAACGATTTCCATAAACTTCTTGCCAGCTTGTGTGAGTTAATTTGACGGGTCCTGGTGCAGGTGGATAACATATTTCATTGCCTCAGGTTGTAAAAAGCACAGGTGCAGTAACTTTGCTAGTGACAGCTTTGTTGTGTGGGTAGAAAAGGAGCTGCTCTTGAGTTGGTCCTGTGGTCTGGAGAAGCTGCTTTTTATTTCACAGACATGTTAAGGATTATTGGATGAGAAACTGGATCACAAGAGAACCGGCTGACCTGAGAACAAGGGGTTAGATACTGAGGGACAAGGTTTGTAGGAGAGACCAAAGGGTGCAGGATGATAACAGAAACAGACTGGGGCTTTGAGGGAGACCTGATGGACATACTGACTGGGCTGCATATAAATGGAGACAAACCGGAGCTAAAGCATAGAAAAAGGATTGAGGGACAGATGCAGGGAATAGAATCAGAAAAACAGGCTTTTGTCGGCTCTGTCATAATACTGGAACAAACTTTAAGCGACAGATAGAGCAAAGCTTGATGGACAGATAAATACTGGGCCAGTGAAACAAAAAAGGACAAGCTAGTGAAAAGACACAGGCTAAGAGGCAGCTCTGAGCTCCCGCTGAGAAACAGATTCAGGGCTCAGACCAAGAGACAAGATTGGGCAGAAAAGCAGAGAAGGGGAACTGGAAGGGATTCATGTGGGGGCAGAGGGACAGGTCATCATCGTTGAAAAATAAAATGCTGTAGAAAGAGACAGCAGAGATTCAGATTTAGTGGCCAACGGAATGAGTGACCAGCTGTTCAATGAAACCTTAATTCATCGAACCGGGAGACATTTGGAAACGACAGACTGGATGACTGATCATGTCATTGACCTGATGAAGGCCCTAGAATCTACAATAACCCACACTCCTGTAACTATAGGGGGTATTAGGTAATATTACTAAAAGATACGTTTAAATCCCACAAATGTGTCTGATGGTATAGAGATTTGCAAAAGGCGGCCGGCTGGTGCATTGGGAAAGGGAACACTTTGGGAATCTGGCACACAAGAGTTTTAGAGCTTATTAAAGCTAGCAGATGGAGATGAAACACATGCCTTGATTTCTTTAGGCTTTTGTGTACTATGCCAGGTGTTCACTGCAACTACACAATTGTAAAATCTATTTTTCCAAGCCTCCCTTGATGTTAAAAATCAATAACAAATTACTGTAGATGAAAAGATAAAAATGTGATACGTACAGTATGTGACATTAGTTCATAAAAGAAATTCGCCTATATCATATGCCAAGGTTGCCAACTTCAAGTATCTGGTATTTAGAAAAAGAAGAATCAATCTCTGCTTTATGTTTTTGAAAAAATATCAGCATTGCACTCCTGGTTGCGCCGACAGGAGACTAATATACAGTCTTATAACATTATGATATTATGGTGGATAATGGCTGATCACAGCAAAAAAGAAATCGGTGAATCTTCAAATAAACCGTTTATTAATCCACTTAATTCTTTTGTTAATAATATTCCAGCAGATCACCAATATAAATGCAAAACTATATACTATTTCTCATTTCATTTCATGAATTGTTATGCTTTCACTGAATAATAATATTGCACTTTACTTGAACTGGCTTTCATTCTGTCATGAGAATAAAGCATATTTCAATACAACTGAAGTGCAACTGAAAGAGGAAAGGTCAGAGCCCTCTGCAGATGTGAGGTTCATTCAGAGAGGTGAAAGCTTCATCCCGTTCATTCATAATTCAGAGGAGCTGCACCCTGGGGCGTCGTCTTAGAGCACAGCCATTCTCACACCTGTCAATCAAACAGTCCTGCTCACACTGTTGGAGTGCAGCAGGAGGGAGCTGTGCAGATGACATATAAGAAATACATATACAGTATATGTAGATTCAACATTTTATTTGGGTGTAGTGGTACAATTCAAGAAGTCAACCCATGTCAAAATCATTTAGAAATCCACTCTAACACTGAAATCCTTATTAATCTGATCTTTCTTGTTGTGCCTTAATAATAAGAAAATGTTATACACTACTTAAAACAAAAATGTTTGTTTTAAACGTTTTGTTTTTCAGCTTTATTTGCAAGAAAACATCAGTAAGTCAATGTGTTGTTTAAAAAAAACACTTTTGTAATAATACATATAATTACATGAATGAAATATATATTTTTTAGGTGTTTAAGGGTAGTTTCCTTTGGTCCTAGTGTTGCTACACATTTGTCTCAGTCTACAGGCAGAGCAAGAGGGATTCATTTTATTACACTGCACCATTATTATGATAATGGTGACAGTGCTGTTTTCAAATGGGATAATTTACATTTTAGTGTAATTTGGATGTGGCAGTGTAAAATATGGTAACGACCTTCTGTTAAAGAGAGCAGTTCATCATGCAGTAGCGAAAGGTAGCACACACACAATAACAGAAAAAGGAATTAAAAAAAGGAAACGTATACGTGCACTTTATCCAGGAGCCCAAAATATTCTATACTTTTTCTCTCACTAAATAACACACACTCGCTCACACCTGAGTGCATACAAGCGCACCCACATTTTGACATCACAATGGTGCACGATGATGCATAACGAGCCAGAGGGAAACTTTTCTGCAGTGTCGAAAAAATTGTCCTCCAGAAGCAGCTTGCAGTTCAGATTCAACCTCAGTGTTGTGATCTGTTTGGACACCTGCAGCTGAGGGAGAAAGCCACTAATGCACTTCTTACTCAAACTTAAGTAGGCAACTTCTACTTCACGTGTTACCTGAAGAGTCTAAAGGGGACAGTTACATCAGCGAAAGTAGAGAACTTTAATAAATCATGAATAAAAGGTGACAAAAACTACCAAAAAAACCACAAGCCATTACCAGACCAGCCGACCCATTGGAGACTTCTTCTATCAGCACTGGGAACATCTGAAATGACTTTTCCCGGCCATGGTGACTTGATCTAAAGTATTTTCGAATCAGCTATTTGGTACTGCAGTTGCACAGCGAAATGAGAGAATAATGGAAGTAGGACGGTGATAAATAAAAGACAATTTGCTAAGCACTCTGAGTTCAAGCCGTTTCAACACCGAAGCAACCTTGC